AAAAAAAAAAAAAAAAAAAAAAAAAAAAAAAAAGGCAGCGGACATTAAACTTCCAGCGTTTGTTTCTTTCCTAAAATTCAAATAATAGATTTGCATAGCTTAAGGCAGAGTCTACCCACAGAGCCATTGTTCCTTCCCCGAGGCCTTCGGCATTTCCAAGGAATGGTTCCGTTTCGGTGCCCTCGCTAGAAGCAATCCTCTATCCGAACCTGCCTGACCGGCAGCCATGCCAAAACGGTGAGATTACCCGACCCAAGCAATTCAGCAAAAGCCACGAATCTCTCATTTTACTTACGGGCCGCCGTCAGCTCCGCCGGGAGGCTCCCCCTGCGTGGGGCTGTCCTGCCCGCATGAGCCCACCGTCCCCCAGCCCTGCTCTGCCCATCCCCGGAGCTCCGGGCCCCACCGCCCCTGAACTCCCCATCTCCCCCCGTCCCTTCCCGCGCCCGCCCCAACCCAGCGCCCGCCGGGGCCCCACAGCGGCTCCGCCCGCCGCCCCGGCCTGCGAGCGGAGCTCCTCCGGGAGGCCGGGGGAAGGCGGGCGGCTCCCCCGCCCCGCGCCCACCACGATCAGCCGGGAAAATCCGGGCGGCCCCTTCCCTCCCTCTCGCCCACCCCCCCGGAGCCGTCTACCTGTGTGCGGAGGCGCCCGGGTGCCCGGCGGACCCTCCCGCGCTCCCCGCCGCCCGCCGGGGGCGACAGCCGGTCCCGCATGCGGACCCGGGCAGCGCCTCAGGCCGGCCTCTCCCCCGGTCCCCGGCAGCCCGCCTGCGGCATCAGGCGCATCCAAGCGCCGCTGGGAAAGCGGGGGGCGGCGGCACTCAGCTTTCTGTCGGGCTCATCCCCACCGGGAACCGGCTCCCGACTACACCGCCGCGTTATGACTTTTTTTCCCCGTGAAGTTCCCAGGAATCTCTGGGAAACGTCTGGGCCGTCTCATCTCACCAGCTCTCAAAACCGATTAAAATTGTCTTCTCTTCAAAGGAGGCTTGTAGAGGCAGGCTCCATACCTCTGGAAGTTCAGTTTAATTCCCTGAGTGCTTTGACCGAGCAACACGCTGATGCATTGAAACAGCCACCTTTAACTACGAGGTAATTTACACTGAATAACAATGTTGCTGGCAGCTCCTGCCATCAGCATTCACCTGAAGGAAATTTTAAAACTGGAAGCACGCATACAAAGCCTACATGAGATTAAAACTAGAAGCTTTCCCGTCTGAAATGACGCAAGATCATGGAAAGGTTAAGGTTGGAAAAGCCCCCCCAGATCCATCGTGTTCAACCGTGGAACGTCTCCCGACAACCATCCCATGTCCCACCGGCAAACTCGGGAACAAGCACTTCCAGCGCACCCAGTCCAATGGGTTCAGTCACCATCCACAAGATCCACTCAGCCCGTGCAACTGGATTTACAGAGCTATACTTGGTAAAGCAGGGGTGTTCACTTACCGGTTGTTAAGAGAGAAGCTTAATTTATCTTTAAATCATCCCAGAGAAGAGGGCAGAACTCGTCGCTTCTGCTCAGGGCCGCCCAGACTGCTGCTGCAGCCTCTGGCAGGTCCAGCCCGGTTCCCGCATGGTGGTGCTTATGACAGGATTCAAGAGGAGAGCTTGTTCAGCTCAGCCCCATCTGCAAGAGAAAACGTAGGAAGGAAGCACGCTGTCTATTTAGACAGCAGTGTTGTTTAGCTCAAGCATGCTGAAATTCCTCCTCCATTTATACCAAAGCTCACCAGGGGGAGAAGACACGTGAAGAGAGATAAAGCGGTGCTGCGTCTTTCCCTCACTAACGAGTCTGTCTTTTCTGACCGACTTCCCTGCGAAGCCGCAGACGCTGTTCTTCCTCCTCCTCCTCCCCCTCCTCGGGCCGGCGGCAGGAGCCTCTCCCCCGCCCCGGCAGCCCGAGATGGGGGGAGACCCGCAAAGCAGGGGGCAGCGAACCACTCCCAGCCTCCAGGAATTGCCATCTAAAATAAGAAACTAATCGTCACCGTGTGTGTGTCGAGGGGGGTTGGGATCCTGTAGGGGCAGGATTCTCCCTTCCCAAGTACCTTTGCCCCCTACCGTGAAACCCCAGGGAAAGCCATCCGGGGAAGAGCTACCCCCAGAGGAGCTGCTGCCAGGAGCAAAAGGAAGCAGCACCCAAGGCAGGCAGGAGTCACTGGGCTCCTGGAAAACCTCTCCGTACCTCAGCGCCCAACCGTTTGGGACCGTGCCATTTCAAAAGAAAGTTATTAAAAAAATCTGTCTCTGATAAAGAGGATGAAAAAATGAGTTTGTCTGGAATCCTGTGCTGCATCAATGCTGTATTTTACCCAGAGGAGTGTATCATGCTAGAAGAAATCTGAGGGGTTGTTAATAATTTAATTGCCTTCTCCTGTTTCTATCTCTATGGCCCTGACCACTTCCAATCTGAAAATTTTCTGTATGGTATTTCAGTGACCTCACAGTGTTTTTAGCATTGTATTAAACCAAGATGCTTCCTTGATTGGAAAAACAGGTCCTATTTTTTGATGGCTGTCACTAGGAATGACCAGAGGTGGATTCTGTTCTCAGCAGCAGTTTTCTGCAGCCTATGTGTACACATAATAAAAATAACAAATTGAAAGCTGGGAACTTTTGTCAGTTCTTCAGGGACTATTCCAGTCTTTAGCCTGCTGAGATGACTTTCAATGTGTTCTGGGCTGGGAACCAAAGTTCAGTCCTCTGTAATTTGTCTTCCCTTGAGCTGAAAATACCTTAGTACTTTTCCCCTTCTCCCAAGAGGTTCCTCAGGTCTTCACCCTTCACATCCTGCCCTTTACAAAACCAAGCTTCTTCCAAGTATATAAATTATGTACCTTCTAATGTTACTTTATTTAACTCTGCTGTATCTTTTTCCCATTTGCTGTCAGCTCTTCAGTCCTTACCCTTCAATTTGCCTAGGTATCGTAGGCACATGACCAATTAAAAAAAAAAATCATTAAGGTTGCACAACAAAGGAGTCAGAATTAGGATATATTAGAAGACTGATTTTGTGACTTCATGTTAGTCCCCCTGCTCATATGTTTCAGGACATTCTTAAATTATGTAGTATTAGTATTATTTTGTTCTGGCTTTGCTTTATTTTGCAAGGCCATGTCTCTTTAGGATACAGGATGGACTTTCAGGATGTGCCAGATTTTTGCAGAACAAGATGTTGGGACTATTCACCACGGAAGAGTGTAGGAAACCTTGAGGAAATGGATGCTATTCCTGCCTCTGTTCCAGTCCGGATGTGTGTGCTGCAGCTGCATCTTTTGTGCATGAGTTCATGTGTATGAGCTTATTTCACTCTGGCTAAGGTGGGTATTGGTACCAGTCCAGCAGGGATCTCTAAGCAGGCTGAAGGGCACAGAAGGAAGAATAAAAAGCGCTGTGGGCAAGACTGAGCCATGGCTCAGAGGCCAGCTCAAGTTACTGGTGCACCTCTGATGCCAGCTAGACACATGCAATGTTCATTCCTGTGGTGGTACCATGTGGTGACTTAGAAGTCATTTGATTTTACAGCTGACTGCAAGTTAAGTGTTTGTCAGTTTCCTTGGAGTCTTGCATGAGGCATCTAACTCCAGGAAGAGCTGGGTGTTCACAATTGCAGCCCAAAGCCCATAGGAGATAAAGTTCACTCACAGTTTATTGCCTTCCATTCGAGGCAGTATGTGTAACAAATACAAAGAATTGCATCTAAGGTAGCTGAATACACCTTTATCTGGAGTAATGCATTATAGTGGTCAAGTAATGTAATAATCTAACTTGCATTAATGTAATTTCACTTTGGTTTCTTCTGGCAATTGTAGCTGCCCCACACCAGCAACAGAATGAAAGCTGGCATTTGTTGTCCTCTAAATATGTTGAGCTAAATTCAAGGATTCAAATGGCAATTGGAATAATTAATATAGTACAAAAAGAAGTTTAGTTCCTAGTTGTTTTCCAAATAATCTGTACAAGCAAGAAGTTGGTAACTAATCTGAAATCCAGTGTATTTTTGAGCACAAAGTACAAGGAATAATTAGGATATAGTCTATTTGAAACAAATTATTTGACAACAATAAGAATCTTTCAAAATGCTTTTGAAATAGTTGACTAGCAGGAAGTCAAATGAACGCTCCTGCAAGCAAATACAATGCATGTGACCAAAAAGTCAACAGATTTGCTCTTTCAGTTGAAAATCAACACTCCTGAGACGCAAACCTCTCCCCAAACCAAACATAAAGCCCCATAAACCTTTAAATGTAAAGCCATAACTAAAATAAATCTGAATAAAATGTAGTCATATTTTAGTTCCAGGAGAAACTATGTACCTCCTGAGCTATTACTAAACTAAGAAAATGTTGTTGTCTCTATCTCAGCTTGTAAAATCAGAGAAAAATAAAGAGGAGAATTAAAAGAAACGGAAGGGAAAACTGTTGAACATGAGAAAATCAAAATTGGAGAGAACAAGGAATAAAGAGAATGGAAAGTTGCAGCATCATAAAAGTGATTTCCCCATCAATCCAATAAGTAAGATGATTAATCAAGCTGTGTGTAGGCAATGCATCATATCTATCATACACTTCTGGTCTTAGAACTAAAATGCAACAGAACTGTCACCCTTCATAATTACTTTGGGAGATTAATGCATTTATAGAAATACCGGCTGTCACAACATCCTTGTGGGTCCCTTCCAACTCAGAATATTCTGTGATTCTGCGATCCCTTCTCCACCCATCTGCTAGCTTTACTGCCTACATCACAGTCTGATCCTAATCTTTATGTCACACCATGAGAACTGGCCTGAGTCCCACACATGCCCAAATCTCTGCTATTGAGCTCCAAAACCTGTCTCAGCACAACTGTTTTGCACAGGTTCTCTCAGTTCCCTTGCCTAGGTGCTCGGGGCTGCCCCCAGGTGCTCTCCACTGTACTTACAGTTCCAGTTGTAATAAGCACCAGTCCTTACATAGCTTTAGTCATCAATTTGTGGTTGCATGATATTTCTTCCAGAGACTCTTTGCCAGGAGACAACTTGCTGAAGCCTGCCCCACGAGCTTTAAAAAAATATTGTTAGTGGTTGTAGCACATCTCATCAGAACCCACAGTGTTTGTCATGAGCTCACAGTGTGCAACCCCCACCTGGTTTGAGGTCATTTTTTCAAGACCTGGTCAACCAAATAACTATATTAGGCTGTGGCTGCTTTCTCAGTCCCCAGGGCCTGCCTGTTCTGGGAATTGCAGTGCTTTCTCCTGCCCCAGGCTGTGCAGTGCTCCTCTACTCAATCTGGGAGACAGGACACCAGTAAACAAAACATGATGGCAGGAAATGTCATGGAAGTAACCCAGGTAGGCTGAGACAGCCTCCCTTTATTTTTACTCCAGTAAAATGCAATCTGGGGTGGTGAGCACATTAGGAAGTGCTATTTTCCAACCAAAGTGAAGCCTTTAATGCATGTGTTTATATGTGAGCATCTACAAACCCATAAAGAAGTACATTATCTGATAGGCACTAGGCATTTTTGTGCTTCATTAGGCATATGCAGAACAACAAATAGGTCAAAGCACACACACTTGAAGAGCATTGCAAACAAAACAGTGGAAAGAAAAAGGGGAAAGGGTTTGAAAAATTGCAGGAAATGTGTCCTGAGCAACTTGGGGTTTTCACCAGGTCAAGAACAACATTAAACCTCAGGTTTCACCCCACCAATTGTTCTCTTCTTTCCATTTAATTACAGTGTCATATGGAACTCAAATGCCCCACTCGTCCCTTCACCCTCCCAATGGATTTCAGTATACTGAGTGATTCCACCTATGTGTGTCCATGGGTAACCCAAACTGAAGCTTCATGGCACCAAAAGCAGCAAAGCAGGCAAGAGCTGCTGCTTCCTGCCCTGGGCAGGAGACAACCCTCTCAAGATCCAGTTCTCCTACCCGGGACATGGCAGTCTCCTCCCTGTAGCTTGCAGGCATGCAGTAGACTGCTGTTCCCAGAGGATGTCAGCTGTGGCATCTGGCACAAGGGAAATCTGTGCCAGAAATCTGAAAAGGAGAGAGGTGGAGGGGTGCATGGGAGAGATAACCAGCTGAGGGGGGTGACAGGGTGGTGGGAGACTCTTACTTGCAGTCTGCTGCTAGGTCACAGCACCAGTGCCAAATGCAGGAGGACACTGAGCTCAGAGAGAAGTCCTTGATCCTGTGGCTCTGGGTCCTACCCACTTGGCCTATGTGCTCAGACAACTGACATAAGCTACTTCTGGAAGATGAAATCCCTGCCCTCTTATGATAGCTCTGTCAGTCCTACACTACCATGCCACTCTCCATGTCTCCTTTCCAAGGAGAGGCCTGCATGTAAGATGCCTTTGCCATTTAAAGCTTAATGCCCAGTTTCTTTCTCTGTGCATTTTATAAAAAAGACTTCCCAGTTTTTCCCACTGGCTCCCCATAGCACAGCCTCTGATTCTGGCCTTCTGACCCCCATATTTTTGTCCTGCGTCCTGCTGGCTTCACCTGTACAGCCAAGTCATTATTACAAGTGCTCAGGCAGCTACTGGAGCTCTCAGATATAAAACCCTTCCACTTCAAACTTTGAGCCCACTTCTTTGGCCAGTGTTAACTGGCCTGGATTTCTTTACTGGTTTGCTGCCAAAGATCTGAGAACAGGTGCAGAGTTTTTCTGGCAAGTACTCTTCAGGCTGGTCTTTACTTGCAAATGTGATGTAGCAAGTCAGTACACAAAACAGAGCTGTAAAAGCAATACAAATAGCTATGATTAGATTCCAGGGAGAAGGAGAGTGAGAAGTTAGGTGAGCCTCTGTGAACCAGAAATGTTATGACAAACTGCTAGAAGCCTTGTCATGTGTGAACAGCATGCTAATTTCAATGAGACACAGACACATGCTGAGAAGAAGAATGC